TCACATGCTGGGCCACAAAGCGAGGCTTGGTAAATTTAAGAAAATTGAAATCATATCAAGCATCTTTTCTGACCGCAATGCTATGAGATTAGAAATCAACTACAAGAAAAAAACTAAAAGACACAAACACATAGAGGCTAAACAATATGCTACTAAGCAACGAATGGATCACTGAAGAAATCAAATAGGAAATCAAAAAAGACCTAGAGATGAATGAAAATGAAAGCATGATAATCTAAAACCTACGGGATGCAGCAAAACAAGTTCTAACAGGGAAGTTTATAGCAATACAATCTTATGTCAGGAAACAAGAAAAATCTCAAATAACCTAACCTTACACGTAAAGCAACTAGAGAAACAAGAACCAAAAAACCCCCAAAGTTAGTAGAAGGAAAGACACCATAAACATCAGAGCAGAAACAAATGAGATACAGACAAAGGAAACAATAAAAACATCAATGAAACTAAAAGCTGGTTCTTTGAGAAGATAAAAAAATTTGATAAACCTTTAGCCAGACTCATCAAGGAAGAGAGGGAAGAGAGCTCAAGTCAATAAAATTAGAAATGAGAATGGAGAAGTTACAACAGATACCACAGAAATACAAAGGACCATAAGAGACTATTATAAGCAACTATATGCCAATAAAATGGAAAACCTGGAAGAAATGGACAAATTCTTAGAAAGGTACAATCTCCCAAGACTGAACCAGGAAGAAATAGAAAATATGAAAAGACCAATCACAAGTACTGAAATTAAAACTGTGATTTAAAAACTCCCAACAAAATACCAGGGCCAGATGGCTTCACAGGTGAATTCTACCAAACATTTAGAGAAGAGCTAACACCCATCGTTCTCAAACTCTACCAAAAAATTGCAGAGGAAGGAACACTCCCAAACTCATTTTATGAGGCCACCATCACACTGATACGAAAACCAGACAAAGATACAACAAAAAAAAAAGAAAGAAAATTAAAGGTCAGTATCACTGATGACGTAGATGCAAAAATCCTCCACAAAATACTAGCACACCAAATCCAACAATACATTAAAAAGATCATACACCATGATCAAGTGGGATTTATCCCAGGGATACAACGGTTTTTCAATATCCACAAATCAATCAGTGTGATACACCACATCAACAAATTGGAGAATAAAAACTATATAATCATCTCAATAGATGCAGAAAAAGATTTTGACAAAATTCAATACCCATTTATGATTTTAAAAATCTCCAGAAAGTGGGCACAGAGGGAACATACCTCAACATAATAAAGGCCATATATGACGAACCTACTGCTAAAATCATACCCAACAGTGAAAAACTGAAAGCATTTCCTGTAAGATCAGGACAAGGATGTCCACTCTCATCACTTTTATTCAACTTTTTTTTTTGCGGTACGCAGGCCTCTCACTGTTGTGGCCTCTCCCACTGTGGAGCACAGGCTCCAGACGCACAGGCTCAGCGGCCGTGGCTCACGGGCCCAGCTGCTCCGCAGCATGTGGGATCTTCCCAAACCGGGGCACAAACCCGTGTCCCCTGCATCAGCAGACAGACTCTTAACCACTGTGCCACCAGGGAAGCCCTATTCAACATAATTTTGGAAGTCCTAGCCACAGCAATCAGAGAAGAAAAAGAAATAAAGGGAATCCAAATTGGAAAAAAGTAAAACTGCCACTGATTGCAGGTAACATGACACTATACATAGAAGGTCCTGAAGATGATACCAGAAAACTACTAGAGCTCATCGATGAAATTGGTAAAGTTGCAGGATACAAAATAAATACAGAGAAATCTGTTGCATTTCTGTACACTAACAGCAAACGGTCAGAAAGCAAAATTAAAGGAACAATCCCACTTACCATCACATCAAAAAGAATAAAATACCTAGGAATAAACCTACCTAAGAAGGCAAAGGACCTGTACTCTGAAAACTATGACACTGATGAAAGAAATTGAAGATGACACAAACAGTTGGAAAGATATACCATGTTCTTGGATTGGAAGAATCAATAGTGTCAAAATAACTATACTACCCAAGGCAATCTACAGATTCAGTGCAATCCCTATCAGATTACCAATGGCATTTTTCATAAGACTAGAACAAAAACATTTAAAATTTGTATAGACACACAACAGACCCCAAATAGCCAAAGCAATCTTTTTTTAAAAATTTTATTATTTATTCATTTATTCAGTTTTTGGCTGCATTGGGTATTCGCTGCTGCACGCAGGTTTTCTCTAGTTGCTGAGAGCAGGGACTAATATTCGTTGCAGTGCTCAGGCTTCTCTTTGCGGTGGCTTCTCTTGTTGCAGAGCACGGGCTCTAGGCACGTGGGCTTCAGTAGTTGTGGCTCGCGGGCTCTAGAGCACAGGCTCAGTAGTTGTGGCGCACGGACTTAGTTGCTTCACAGCATGTGGGATCTTCCCAGACCAGGGCTCGAACCTGTGTCCCCTGCATTGGCAGGAGGATTCTTAACCACTGCACCACCAGGGAAGCCCCAAAGCAATCTTGAGAAAGGTAAACAGAGCTGGAGGAATCAGGCTCCCAGACTATACTACAAAGCTACAGTCATCAAAACAGTATGGTACTGGCACAAAAACAGAAATATAGATCAACGGAACAGGATAGAAAGCCCAGAAACAAACCCACACAACTGTAGTCAATTAATCTACAACAAAGGAGGCAAGACTATATAATTGAGAAAAGACAATCTCTTCAAGAAATGGTGCTGGGGAAACTGGACAGCTACATGTAAAAAAATGAAATTAGAACATTCTTTAACACCATACACAAAATAAAGACCTAAATCTAAGACCAGATATTATAAAACTCTTAGAGGAAGATACAGGCAGAACACTCTTTGACAGAAATTGCAGCAATATCTTTTTCATTCCGTCTCCTACAATAATGGAAATGAAATGAAAAATAAACAAATGGGACCTAATTAAGCTCAGAAGATTTTGCACAGCAAAGGAAACCATAAACAAAAGGACAACCCACAGAATGGGAGAAAATATTTGCAAACAACGCGACCAACAAGGGATTAATCTCCAAAATTTACAAACAGCACATGCGGCTCAATATTGAAAACAACAAACAACCCAATCATAAAATGGGCAGAACACCTAAACAGACATTTCTCCAAAGAAGACATACAGATGACCAGGAAGCACATGAAAAGGTGCTCAAGATCTCTAATTAGAGAAATGCAAATCAAGACTACAATAAGATATCACCTCACACCCTTCAGAATGGCCATTATCAAAAAGTCTACAGACAGTAAATGCTGGAGAGGGTGTGGAGAAAAGGGAACCCTCCTACATTGTTGGTGGGAATGTAAATTGGTACAGCCACTATGGAGAACAGTATGGATGTTCCTTAAGAAAGTGAAAACAGAGCTATGATCCAGCAATATGATCCAGCAATCCCACTCCTGGGCATACATCCAGGGAAAAATGGTTCAAAAGGATACATGCACCCCATTGTTCATTGCAGCATTGTTTACAATAGCCAAGACATGGAAACATTCATCTGTGCGTTGACAGATGAATGGATAAAGAAGATGTGGTACGTATATACAATGGAATATTACTCAGCCATTAAAAAGAATGAAATAATACCATTTGCAGCAACACGGATGGACCTGGAGATTATCATACTAAGTGAGGTGAGTCGGACAAAGAAAGACAAATATCATATGATATCGCTCATATGCGGAATCCAGAAAAAATGATACAAACAAACTTATTTACAAAGCAGGGACAGACTCACAGATTTAGTGAATGAACTTATGGTTAGCAGAGGGGAAGTATGGAGGGGAGGGATAGATTGGGAATTTGGGATTGACTGGTACACACTGCTATATTTAAAATAGATAACAAACAAGGACCTACTGTGTAACACAGGGAAGGAACTCTGCTCAATACTCTGTAATAACCTAAATGGGAAAAGAATTTGAAAAAGAATAGATACATGTATATGTATAACTGAATCACTCTCTGTACACCTGAAACTAACACAACATTGTTAATCAACTATACTCTAAATTAAAAAAAAAATCTCTCCAGGTATTCTCATAGCTAGGTGTCTTAGCAGAGTTGACACACTTGACAGTTGTAGTCAGAATTCCTATATCTGGAATGTGCAGACCAGTAACTACTTCCTTCTTCCTCTGTCTTCCCCCAAGCCTATATGGAATATTGCTTTTGTCTGGGTATGTTATACAACGTGCTGTCACATCCTGACTTTGTACTTTCAGAGGCTATCCTTGCACAAGATAAAATGATGCAACCAGTTAAAGAATAACGTGGAATCTTGCAATTAGCTATTTCTTGGATTCCCTAGATAACTAGCAGAAGAGAGATTTTAAGCTCTTAAGCCTATCTTAGTGAAATAAAGACTTCATTCCTAGATATGCAGGAAAAAGTGAAACTGGGGAAACAAAATGAACTCAAATGTCCAAGCATAATGTTAATTATTATATTTTAATTTTTCTGTTTATTAAAAATTCCTCAGCCATCACTTAAAAAAATAGTAAAAGCATTGGGTTTAAGGAAAAATGGCAAAGGGTTGGGAAAAGGCCAATTAAAATTACTATAACTCAACAGAAATTGTTACTTTCTTGATTTGTTTTATTACTCATAACTATGAAAGAAAACAGGTCATATAACATAATTGTGTCTACGTTAAAGATTTTTTAATAAAATTGTTCTATTTGTTTCCTAAGTCTTGTTGAGAATCGTTAACTCAATATCATAATATTAATTCTATAGCTCCCAGATTTTAAAAGTGTCAGGAATTCCATTAATCATGATTAAAACTGTCACCTTGTAATGCCCCAAGAAATTTGTCCTTTTTGAAGAAAGACATTAAAATACAAGTAGTTTAGTTTGTAATTTTGCCTAGTCATTCTGTTTGTGTAAGGTCTGAATTGCTTTAAGGTAACTCATATGAGGCAGCTGGCTACTAATCAATGCCTTTCTTTTCATTTGAAGTGTTTCCTTCAGGGAAATTGTGGTGAGTTTACTATCCCATCAAGTGTTACTCCAGAACTTATATGATATCTTGTTAGAAGAGTTTGTCAAAGGCCCCTCTCCCGGGGAGGAGAAGATCCAAGTGCCAGAAACCAAGCTGGCTGGCTTCCTCAGATACATCTCCATGCAGAACTTGGCCGTCATCTTTGACCTGCTGTTGGACTCCTACAGGACGGCCAGAGAGTTTGACACCAGCCCTGGGTTGAAGTGCCTGCTGAAGAAAGTGTCTGGCATCGGGGGCGCCGCCAACCTCTACCGCCAGTCTGCCATGAGTTTTAACATTTATTTCCACGCGCTGATCTGCGCTGTTCTCAGCAACCAAGAAGCCATCACTGCTGAGCAAGTGAAGAAGGTCCTTTCTGAGGACGGTGAGAGGAGCACAGATTCCTCCCAGCAGTGTTCATCAGAGGATGAAGACATTTTTGAGGAGACCGCCCAGGTGAGCCCCCCTAGAGGCAAGGAGAAGAGGCAGTGGAGGGCTCGGATGCCCTCCCTCAGTGTCCAGCCCATCAGCAACGCGGACTGGGTGTGGCTGGTCAAGAGGCTTCACAAGCTGTGCATGGAGCTGTGTAATAACTACATCCAGATGCACTTGGACCTGGAAAACAGTATGGAGGAGGCACCGATCTTCAAGAGCGACCCTTTCTTCATCCTTCCCTCCTTCCAGTCGGGGTCATCCACCCCGTCCACTGGGGGCTTCTCGGGGAAAGACACACCTTCCGAGGATGACCGCAGTCAGACCCGCGATCACGCGGGCGAGCCGCCGAGCCTGAGGGGGACCAGCGGGGAAATGCTGCTGCTGCCCCCGAGCCCCAAGGTAGAGAAGAAGGACCCCAGCCGCAAGAAGGAGTGGTGGGAGAACGCCGGCAACAAAATCTACACAATGGCAGCTGACAAGACCATCTCAAAGCTGATGACCGAGTACAAGAAGAGGAAACAACAGCATAACCTGCCCACCTTCCCCAAAGAGGTCAAGGTGGAGAAGAAGGGAGAGCCACTGGGGCCCAGGGGCCAAGGCTCCCCGCTGCTCCAGCGGCCCCAGCACCTGATGGACCAGGGGCAGATGCGACACTCCTTCAGCGCTGGCCCCGAGCTGCTGCGCCAGGAGAAGAGGCCCCGCTCGGGCTCCACCGGCAGCTCCCGGAGTGTCTCCGCAAGAGACGCCGAAGCCCAGATCCAGGTGGGTACCCGCCCCCCACCGGAGGATGCAAGGGTCCACAGCCGGCCATGCAGGAGAGAAGCTGGGTACCAGTGACACACCTGTGCCCCTCAGGGAGCACTCAGACACGTTATGATCCTCCACAGTCAGGGGACTGCCTGCCCCTAAGACATAGGATCCATCAGTGTATCCTTGTGAAACTGAAATTATATTCTCATATAATTTCAGGAATTGTTTCTATAGGTTATAACAGATACTACTGAGAATTAGGAACCCACCTGTGTAAATGAGATGACGCCAAAGCTTAGAAAATGGATGGACTTAAACCCAGGACTCAATTAATCATTTGAAGATAGCCCTGAAGCAATTCTGTAGTTATGAAGAATTATGTAAAGGGAAAAGGCAAAGTGCATATTATGTGGTTATTCCAATGAATTGTTTTCCTAGCCCGTCCTGAGCACATAAAAATTCTCATTTTCAGAGTGTTCCTATTCCTTTATATAATTAATATTTGCAATTCTATGGTACCTCCCAAAAATGAGCTTGAGAAGTAAAGAAGAGGGGCACTGTTTCATTCAATTTAAGAAACGATGAGATGGGAAAAGATAGAAGGATCTAAACTCATGGAGAGCCCTTTAAAAGCCATCTGGACGTTTATTAAGTTGTAGATTCCTGTTGCAGGCATAGTAAGATAGGAGCTCTTGGGCCCTAGGATTCTATGGACCTATACAGGAATGTATTCTTAGAATGAACATAAACTTGGAATTAGTATGAATCTTGCAAGATACTTTTTTCCTCTGATGTATCTTGAACATAGAACTAAACTTCATAGTTCAGAATCCACAAAAATTATCTTAGACTGTATTTGTAAAAGTATCCAGTCAAACTGAGATGTAAGGTTATTCTTTAACAGATGACCTTCTTGACAAATAACAGATCTTAATTGCTTTTTCATGTCTTGGAGATTTGCTTATGATTTCAAAAGTTACCCTAAATTAAGGTAGACCTATTCCAAGTTTTCTAGACATTAGAGAGACTGCTGATTAAAAATGTCATATGGCCTATGAAAATCTCATCATGAGAAGGCAAGAGAGTTTTTAAAAATCTGAGGAGTAAGATTTTTGTATTTTGTAAAAGCTGGAAATAATGTATTCCTAATGTGAAATGAGTCTCTGCTAGTCCTTTTATATATATATATATATATATATATGAACTTAAACTGATGTTTTATTATAAGTGCATTAAATTAGTAAAGACTACATGTATTGAAGCCTAAAGCCTGAGAAAACTCATTTGCATATTAGCCACACTTGAGTACAAATGAAACTGCTGGAGAAAACGGCTAATTCTCTTAATCCCTTTCTCTTAGGCATGGACCAACATGGTGCTAACAGTTCTCAATCAGATTCAGATCCTTCCGGACCAGACCTTCACAGCGCTCCAGCCAGCAGTGTTCCCATGCATCAGCCAGCTGACCTGTCACGTGACTGACATCAGAGTTCGCCAGGCTGTGAGAGAATGGCTCGGCAGAGTGGGCCGTGTCTATGACATCATTGTGTAGAAGACTCACATTCCATTCCCAAGGAGATACACTAGGAGGGTTTAGAGTATGTCTGCCAATCCAGCTGATAGCATTTTCCCCACCACCAGCCCCCGTGACTCGGAGAACACCCAGTTGCTCCCTAACTAATCCGCACTGGGGCCATTCTGGATACTAAGGTTGTATCTGGATGACACAAGTGAAACTCTAAATTTGCACATAATTTCAGAAGACTCTACATTCCTTGACACATTTCTAAATCTTATTTCCCAATGCCTTTGCCTGCAATATTGTCCCCAAATGAGTCACTTTCAAGGGCCACTCCTTTGAAAACATTACATTGATCCATCATTTTATTTATTTCTTTATGACTACATCGGTCATTTACTACTCCACCGGGTCTTAGTTGCAGCATGCATGCAGGATCTAGTTCCCCGACCAGGGATTGAACCCGGACGATCCATCATTTTAAAAAATGCAATAGCTAAAGAAATGCCTGCTGGTAAGTCAAGCTGATGTACACATAGACATGATTACCAGACATGATTAATTGGAGGAAGATTTATATTATGATTATGAGTTCGGCAGGGAAGAAAACAGTTGGAAAAATGTATTCTTGGGTGTCATAATCTTTAAAATATTCCAGAACATTTCAAAATTATTCCTACGTTGTCAAGGTTTTCTGGTTGGTATTTACCAACTTCCTCATGTAAGGTACTATTGTGCCTTCACTTCCCTACTTGTAAAGGAAGGACATTCTTTCATGGCAGGATTTTAAGTCTGTGGCATGGCAGCCTTTGACACATAGTACTCAGTGGTATTGGCTGATACAGATAGTGCCAAATGACTTAAGACCGGCCACCCTGACTGTCCCAATAGTCTTTGCTTTTGTTCCCAACGCAAAAATGAAAAGGGAAAGAAAAAATGGTGCCTTAGTTCCTTGTTGCACACACATTTCCATGCTCCACAATTATCTGAACATAAGGTATAACATTTTGTCTTTAAGAAAACAAAACAACTCATTTTATATCAACACCCTTGGAAGAAAGGAACTCAAGAATTCACCGTCCAATGAACAGACTTCTCAGGGAAGGGAGCAGGAAGTGTGGGGTTAGGGAGACAGCTGGAAGGGGTGGGAAAGGAGGTGATGATGAAATCATTTTAAATCTGAAAATATTAAACAACAATCGTATGAAATTATGGTATCGTTCATACACACTCTAGTCTCAGAAGAAAATAAAACTACAGGAGAAAAGGACACAGAATGAAGTTTAGGAAATGAAGTTTTTCAGTTTAAAATATTTCTCCTCTCTGGCAAGTAGATTTGCCCTCTGTTTGAGGTCTTTTAATTCAGGCATATTTTAACCAGATATTTATTTTCCTAATTATTACTAGAAAATTAATTTGGAATCTTTATCTTATTATTTACAGTATATTTAATATTTCTTAAATTTTAATAGTGATTAAAACTCCTCAGTCAAGCCCACTCACACACATTCTAAAGAGTTAGTTGCTAAGAGATATGTTTTAATTTTCCCAGCTCCTAAAAATTATTCGTAATTGAAAATATTGTCCCTAAAACATCAGCTCTTAAGGGTGGAAGTAAGGATTTAAAACTGACAGCTTTATTCAGTGCTGGTATTAAAACTGACAGCTTTATTCAGTGCTGGTATAAACTTTGTCTTCCTTGGGAATATATAACTATCTACAAGGTTAAGAGGGAGACAGGGTTCCCTGATTTATTTAGGCAATCTAAAAGAAAGAACCTTATCATTCGCTATGCCATCCAGAGATCACCACAGAATTCAGAAGATGTTTTTCCAGTTCCACAAAACACTCTTTGCCTTCAGTTTTTGCTCGTTAGACAATAATGCAAGTTTAGAAACAGATCAACAATTTGATGTTAACAAGCAATGAATCGTTGAGATAGCAATAAGTTGTGTTCTATACTTTAGATTTTTTATATTTTGTAAGTAGAATTGAAAGTTGGATACTTTTTTTTTTTTTTTTTAACAAAAGCAGTACACCATTGTAGTTTTGTTTCTTTTTGTAGCTCATCTAAGGTTCATTTCCTTGTGAGCCTGTGAGTATTCCGCAGTTTACGGGGGCGGGGGGAGCTTCAGCAAAGCAGAGTATTATCAAATCAGAGTAATTACAAAATGCTTCTATCTAGCAACTTTTTATAAAGTATAAAAATTCAAAGGAGGCCAGTCTCAATTCATGAAGGTCATGTCCTGGAAGTTGTTAACCGTTTAGAAGTCAGAATTCATTGTCTTGACAGATTCTCTATTGTGGGATTCATGGCTAGCTTATGAAAACAAGTTTACCCCATTCTGTATTCAAACACTGCTCTAGTACCAACCTAATTATGGGTCCCAAGAATAGAAGATGAGAGGATGTACATCATTCTTTACCTACAATCTTGTCAGAGGGTTTTGGTCCCTTCCCGTCATTTTTTCTGTAGACCACCCCTCCGGCCCACAGCAGTCTTCAACCCACCTCCATTCCCAACACACTCTGTGCACCACATCCATGTCAGATTTCAGCTGGAAAGTTAGCTAAGTCACAGTAATACTTCTCAGAGGTATTTGCAGCTTTCAAAAAGGACGTGGCTTGACGCAAATAATCTCCGAGGAATAGTACACTTCAAGTCACAGAGAAGTCAGTCAAATCTTCCCAGGGGTGAAGAAGAAAGGGACATATGTAAAAACCCTTAGTAGATGAGCGGTCCCTCCCCACACTGCCCCATCAGTCCCTCACTCTTCCTGCTGTCTCCATTTCTGCCTTTCCCCATCTCTTCTTTCATTCCCTCCCATGGTCTCTGAAAGACCAAGGTCAAGACAAGCCTTTGTAGTTACAACGGCTATTACCATATATTTTCAGATCTAAGCAGAATAAGATTTTTATTGCTTTTAGTTGCCTGTATTTACTGCCAAAAGTGTGCTACCCTCTGGGTGAGATTTATTCTTTTTCTAATATTTTGGTAGCGTTCATCTTTTCCAAAGTGAGGAAGCACGCTAGAAAACTCAGAGTGCAAACGAGTTCCTGACTGAATAGCCCAGCCAAGTGCACCGCACCACACTCTGCAACAGATTTCTCCTTGCCATAGGAGGTCTTAGATTTGATGCAGGGCCAATAGATTGTTCATAGGCTCTCTCCTACCTCTTGCATCTCCTGATCAGCTTTGACAGATGCTTAGGCTGTCTCTTTACACCCTCTTGTCATCTCTCCCCTTAACGATTATTTTCCTGCCTCCTCCATCAATACAAAACTAGGGCAACTTTTACCACTTTTAGGCTATTTAATGACTGACCAAGGCAGATGCTAACATAGAAAACAGCTCAGACTAAATCAAACATGACCAAATGTTATCGATAATTCCAAAGTACCTTTAAATTGAAACTTCTTGGTACAGCGATCAGTAGGCTTTGTTGTTGCTGTTCTTATTGTTCCAAGGAGAGGGCTTATACAGAGTCAGTTGAGAGAGTCAAATAGCCTTAACTATAAGAAGGTAATGCAATTATATAATAGATATTTTTGACTTCCCCAAATACATCATAGTATTGCTTACGTAGGAAAGTTTTCTTTCTCAGAAAGAAAAATCCGTTTGTGTCAGTCCTATCAAACTAAGCAAAATGAAGACCTCTGGGGCTTCCCTGGTGGCGCAGTGGTTGAGAGTCCGCCTGCCGATGCAGGCGACAGGGGTTGGTGCCCCGGTCCGGGAAGATCCCACATGCCGCGGAGCGGCTGGGCCCGTGAGCCGTGGCCGCTGAGCCTGCGCGTCCGGAGCCTGTGCTCCACAGCGGGAGAGGCCACAACAGTGAGAGCCCCGCACCCCAAAAAAAAAAAAAAAAAAATGAAGACCTCTGTTTGGAGCTGATAACAATAGCAAGAGGTTACAAACAGCAGTGGGGGGAGGTAACATCATTGAGTGCCTCTGAGAACGTGGACCTTTATCTACTTTTACCATATTTAATTCCCACAATAACACTGTGAAACAGGTATTGTCCTCATTTTTTCAGATGAGGATGCAGACCCAGAGAGGTTCAGAAACTTGCCCAAGATAGCCCGTAAATGGCAAAGTTGGTTGCAAAAGAGATGTTCCTGAGTTCAAAGGCCAGGCTCTCTACAACACCATGTCTAAGTGTACAGTGTAAACACTTCAGTGTTTCAAGCAATTAAACAGTTAAAATGAGTTGAAGATATTACATTGATGTCCCTATCTATAATGTTATGGGGATTTTTCAATAGGGTTAAAAGAAAAAGATGGTGTTTAGGCATAGTAAGGTCATATATAACATAATATTTTTATGTTTGAAAATAAAGAAAACAAAATCTAATCTTAAAGTAGATCCTCAGTGGTAATTGAGGAAACTCACCAAATTAGGTGGAAATGATGGAATAATATTGTCCATGGCCAGCTATTATGTGGAAAAACATGACAGTCTGTGTCTGGAATGACAGCAACAATTTGTTGACCTTTACCAATTACCATTTAATCACTCAGAATAAAGTGTCCTGTAGCCAACAGTGCCTCTCTACTTGCTTCCCCTGGAAGTATATAGGACTGAATTGTAGGTCATCATCAAACTTTGGGAATATGCAAAATAAATGACCATTTTTCAAAATGCACATTCTCTGAAGAAGAAGCAACTGGTCAGACAAGATTGCTTCAAGATTCAGGTACTGAGGGCATCAGGTCAATATGCAGAGTAACCGTGTGCCATGACACCTAAATATTTCTACTTGCCTTGTAGACAAGGAAACAGAAGGAAAAATTCAACATAATGCAGTAAGTGAATGACAGAACTTACATCTGCTTGGGTACCATTTAGGAAGATTTAGTGTGGCCTTAAAAAAGCAAGACTATTTTTAAGCACTTTTTATTGAATATATGACCTTGTTTATGGCAAGATTTATGAAATTGGGTAAAGAAGTCATTTATAATTATGCCTCATCCAAAAAAAATGTGCTCCTCCTTCACGAGTGCAGCAATCTAGAAAACATTGTCTCTGTGTTTCGTGAGATCCCTTTCCTCTGGCTGTATTGTAATATTTGTATCTGATGTGGAAGCAACTAATAACTTAGTTAAGGTTTTGGATTACAACACCATTTACATTTCTAAAATACAATTATTACTTCAGGGAAGATAGACTAAAAAAAAAAAAATCATCCCCTGGGATAATGTAGGAGAAACTTACTTGAGAACAATGCCTAATTTCCTTGTAAAGAGGGGCAGTATTTATCAATTGAAGAAAAACCCACTACCACACAGCTAGCACCATGCAAAACCTTTCCCCTCTATCTTTGTGTGATAATGCAAGGGGGGGTATAGGGAGGAGAGACTAGCTAGCTGGCCATCTTAGTGACACAACTGCAGTCAACTTCTGCTGAATTCCATCCAATTACAGTCCTTCCAGCCTTTTCCACTACCAGAAATTGTTTGTACTGTTAATTCCTATCCTGAAAGTTCAAGTAGTGATCGTCTCGTATCTTTTGACGTTAGAACAGTAGTTGTCAAACTTTAGCACATATCAGAGTCACCTGGAGGTCTTGTTAAGGCACAGATTGCTGGTCCGGAGCCCAGAGTATCTGATTCAGTAGGCCTAGAAATTTGCATTTCTAACAAGTTCCCAGATGAGGCCAGAGCTGCTGGTCTGGGGACCACACTTTGAGGTCCAATACCTGGAAAAAATTTCTAACTACTCCCTTTAAGATCAGCCTGACTTATCAAGCACTAGAGAAAAACCGAACTTCACCTTGGGCAGACAACTTGGAATTGGATTCTCTACAGCACTGCTGTTCAGTCTTCCCAGTTTCCAGGTTTATTATGCCAACAATTGATTTTTACAAGGTAGAAGACAATGAATGTATAAGTTCTGTGGAACAGTGAGATCTATTGTATTTAGAAACATTAACTCTATGATGACCTTTTGTATCATGTTGACTTTTTGACTTGTACTGAAGGTGATTTTAAAGTATGTAGTGTTTTAATTTCTTCTGTCCATAGTTTTGATGAGATGTTTCCATGTTGATTCCATCACAACCTTGGCTCCTGGCTTCCAGAAATTTTTGAGTAGTTGCTCTCTTGCCAGTAGTTTTATATCCCTCTTTAGTCAACAGAATACCAGCACATCAAGATGATACTATACTACTTGATGTGTCTTCATCTTTCACTTAACTGTCTGGTGTAAATTAATATTTTAATTTCCTACATATCTGTAAAGAGTCTACCAAATGGCTTCACGAGAATTTGCAAGTGGAACCAACTCCCTTTTGAGCAGCACATGTGCCTGTTTTAAGGACTTTTCATTACATATGTTGTGTTGTGCATGTATCTACACAATCAAGACCATATTCATTATCTCATTTCCCAAATGAGGAGAAAAATGTAAAAGCGCATCAGTATGCTTTGGGAATACAGTGAAATCATGTTAAATATAGATGGGGCCTTAGTTTATCTCTTAACTCTTTATTCAGTTAATTAGTTTTGGAAATTCTTTTTCCATTAAACAAAATAAGGACCACAGAGGTAATAATTCAAGAGAAAAAAAATTGAGTACCTCAAAATCATCTCCCTTGTATATATACTAATGACACAAAATTTTTATTGATTCAGTAAGTTTCTCTAAAGACTTCTGTTTAAGTATCCTGACATTATTTAAACTGTTATATAAGTAGAAAGTAATGACTATATTTACTAGAATTAGTGAGATGAGAAAGCACACCAGTGTTAATGATGTCAAGGATTCAAGTCCTTGCCTCTGTAGACAGGAATAATTGAAGCCTTTCTACTGCAGTTTCATTTCCCCTAATCATTTTTGGAAATGATGTGTGCGTTTAGTTTTTTTAATAATAACGGATGTTGAATTAAATTTTAATTAATCTCTAGTAATAATTTATTTTTGTTTTACCAGCTGGTGCCAAAAAGGGGAGGGAGGAATCCAAAAACCAGTCTTTGAAACTAACATGTAAAGTATGTTTTCTCTTAAAGTTGGGAAGCTCACGGCCCTGGCTCTACCGGCCACCACGGCTGCCTCGTGACTAGGTACAGGCAACTTTGTGGGCCTCCCTCTCTCCTTACATCCAAGTTTTGTTGGAAGTGGTCCTCTCCAATAAAACTTGGTTTCCCACACAATAGGTAAAACTGGACAAAGATTAATGCTTTTTGATATGTTTGGTTTCACTTCAATTGGAACCATGTGGTAGAATTTCCAGGTATGGCATGAACGGGGCAGGAGCAGGTACCTAGAGGGAAAGGCTGGTTTTGTTTGGTTTTGTTTCTTAATTTGTTTTTAGTGGATGGGTGGGGATGGGGGCAAGAATAAGAAGTTTATTGCCCTAATCATGCCAAAAAACTGATTCAAGATGATTTTCCTGCTGTTCTAAGAGGAATAGACTTAGATAAATTACATTATAATTGGTTCCCCTGCTACCATCTCCCACTCTAAGTAAAGCCAACAGGTGGTAAGGGTCCTTTTATCCTTTCTTGTATTATGCCAAAGACTAGACTTGTTTTCACTGAAAATTATAAATAAATGAAGCTTGGTATAGCCATAATGATTTGAGTCCGTATACCATTTTATCCATAGAATGCAAAACTCATCCCTGCAACCCTATTCACCAGGAGCCTTGAAGCATTTTGTTTACTCCAAAGGACTTGTCAAGGAAGTACAGTTTTTGTTTTGCCTTCTTTTTTAGCCAGTTTGGTCACATTTATTTAAAAAAAAAAAAATGAAAACCACCATCCTTTATATGCTGATATAACTATTTGATTTGATATAATCTGTGTTGTTTAACAGGTTCCTGTAAGCAAGCTTGCAAGTGTATTTTGTGTACATTTTATCTGAGGTGAAAATGAAAATTCTAAAGAGAAAATATTTTAAAAGATATTGTATTTATGTTGCTTGTGTTGTAGAATAAAGATTCAAATGCATCAAAAAATCTGATATGTGAAACCATTTTCTTCACTGAATAAATATATCAAAATAATCTATGTAAATATCCTGTTTACAGAATTCTGCTAAATGAACTAGGTTCCTTTCCTTGGCGTTTCATAACTCTGAAGAAACTCCCCCTTCCAATTCTATAATACAGAGGCAGTCACTTGACAATTTGGTGAATGCCTAGAAAATACATTTGAAGAAAAAATATATATATAACATAGTATTATATATTATATACAGTATTATACTATATTATATATAATATTTACTATATATATCTACTACATATATACCATTGTTTCCTTTTCAAAAAGAGGGCTGGGGCTTCCCTGGTGGTGCAGTGTTTGAGAGTCCGCCTGCCGATGCAGGGGACACAGGTTCGTGCCCCGGTCCAGGAAGATCCCACATGCCGCGGAGCGCCTGAGCCCGTGAGCCATGGCCGCTGAGTCTGCGCGTCCGGAGCCTGTGCTCCGCAACAGGAGAGGCCACAACAGTGAGAGGCCCGTGTACCACAAAATAAATAAATAAATAAATAAAAATAAAAAGAGGGTGTATTTTACAATATTATTTTGATGTCTTACTTCATAAGAATGGATATCAAATTCATGTTATCAGTAGATATTGATGTAGTTTATTCATTTAAAAGAACTAAACGAATGTATTACCTTGATTGTTCATAAACAACCAAATCCCTAAATAGGAATATTGTTATTAAAAGGTAATATTAAAAAGAAAAATACAGCCGC